CACATATATATGTATATAATAAGTTAAGAGATCATCAGGTCTCTTCTGTAGTGGAATAAACATTATATTATGCATGCATACTCTTATCATGATGGCCCACCAGCAGGTGTAGACATAAAATAGAATGCTTTTCACTGTATGCAATATTCATTCATTGTGCAAAATAAGAAAAAGCATGTTGGCCGATTCTAATAGTTAATTTTAAAACTGATATTGGACGTTACCAGTGATGTACTGATGTTTCCATGCATCCCGAAGTTTATTTACTTTATTAATCCCCCTGAGGGGAAATTCAGTGTTTTCGCTTTTGCTTGTCAATTACACACAGGTCCGAAAGACACACACATGCACAAACAGGACCTATACATGCACAAAGTGGAGAGATGTCAGAGTGAGGGGGCTGCCCTTGGTGAGGTGCCCCGAGCGGTTGGGGGGTTCGGTGCCTTGCTCAAGGGCACCTCAGCAGTGCCCAGGAGGTGAACTGGCACCTCTCCAGCCACCAGTCCACGCTCCATATTTGGTCTGGGCAGGGACTCGAACAGGCGACCCTCCGGTTCCCAACCCAAGTCCCTATGGACTGAGCTACTGCCGCCCCCAAAAGTTAATGCCAAGGTGTTATTGTAGCTGCTGTGTTGACTCCGCTTCATATCAAAGCCCCCCTCTATCAGTCTTTGTGAAACAGATACTGAATGTTGAGAGCTAGATGGGTATCTGCAACTGAAAACAAATGATGAAGCAATTTCTGATGACCTTCTGAGATTTGTGATTCATGGTTAGTTTTTAGTACCTTTCAGGAGGGCACTGGCTTAAAAATTGCAGTTGATCGCTGGGTGGAGTGTGTGCTGCTATTAAATTTCTTTCCTTCCTCTAAATTGGTAGGATTGGTCAAATGCTTTGTGCAGATTTCCCCAATGGGATTAAAAATGTAATCTAATACTATAACAATCTAATTTAGAATATTATAGGATATTGCTCGAGTAAATCCTGATGTGGGATACAACAGCACTAAGTCCTAAAGCCAGTGAAATAAATTAGTGAGAGACTGATCCTGGGCTCTGTGTTTGTTCTGCAGGCACCAGGTCCATGAGAAGGAGGAGTTCAAAGCCTTAAAGACCCTCAACATCTTCTACCAGGCAGGAACCTCCAAGACTGGCAACCCAGTCTTCTACTACGTGGCCCGCAGGTAGGACCTGACCGTCCATCTACCTTCTCTCCTTATTGCCAGGTTAATGCCTTGTGCTTCTCAGCTTATACATGTACATAGTGCTGACTCATATCTATGCATTTCTCTGAAAGGTTTAGTGATGGAGGTTTAACTAAGCACTTCTGTTTGAATAACTCTAATGGTCACAGCAGCCTATGGAAATGTTCCTAAAACAAAATAGATACTGTGGAGAAAGGTTGACAGTTTGTAAACTATACATGTGATGTTGTTTATGGATAAAACATGGAAAAGCATAAAAACTGTTCAACTGCTATGGTGCAGGTGGAGGTGAGGGCTCTTTTCTTCTTCATTGGGACTTCTGCACTCCAGATACAAATACATTGGAGACAGAGAGAGACAAACAGACAGAGAGAAAGAGAGATAGACAGAGAGAAACAGAGACACAGAGACAGAGAGAAAGACAGTCAGAGAGAAAGAGAGACAGAAAAAGAGGGATTTTTTTTGTTAACAGCATAGTATTTAAAGGAGCTATATGTGACATGCAGAAGGATATCTGTGATTCAGAGTGTGGGGCATTATTGTCTGCACACAGTTCTCAACATGGAGGTGGGTGAGCCAGTGGCTAGCTAACTGTGCTAACTCCATAAGCAGGGCTAACAATGGCAACATTGCTGACAGAGCTAACATTGTTACCTGGGGGAAACTGGAGGGTGGGAGCCAGCTCCCACAGTAACGCCAGTAACCCCGGTATGAGCAAAGTGCAAAGCGGTATCAACGAGCTAGAGTAGTGGTGCAACTAGTGCAAAACCTAGATTATAATTTAAGGTTATATTGCTTTTATGAATCTGATAATTTAGTTTGAAAGAACATGACAGATATATGAGTCCAGGATGAGAGTGTCTGTAGATGTTCCTGAGCCCCCTGTCCTGACTCAGAGGGGACTGTTGTACAGGGAGATGGCAGCTGGCCAGATGGACCTCTTGTAATACTCCTTGTCTTACTAAAAATGCTCCGCTGTTCGGCCCGGATGTGGTAGAGAGGATACGATACTATTTAGTATGCCAGAAATAGATTTAGCATTTTGCGGGATGATTTTTTGCACAGTTGCGATGATCATTTAAGATTTGAAGAAAATAGATGGGCTTGTATGATTGTAGGCCCACAGTGTTTGTGCTGTTATTGTTCAGTCCAGTGAAACACTCATAGACTGGTGACTTTTTCTTGTCTACGACACTAATACTCCTGAGGTCTTGTGACATGGACTAAAAGAATGGTCCTCAAGATCCTGATTGAAGGCTTGTCTTCACCATCCAAATAGCTGTAAAGTTTTGAATCTTAGTACACATTTGGATATGCTGAATACTTAGGCCTCAGCATGCATGATGTCCACTAGGGTTGGGTCGGTATGAGGAAAAAAAAAAAACGGTTCGGTTTTTGTAAAAAAAAAAAAAAAAAATGCATCAAGTTGGTAATACCAGATTTTCGCCACTTGGGGGCACAATTGACTCATTTAAAAACGACCTTAGGACAACAGAGTGACAGTAACAAGTTGTTTCTTTTATTCCTTACAAATAAATTTTGCAGCTTACTCAATCAGTGCAAACAAGGGTTGCCTCCTTCGCCTGGCTCAAAGCCAAAGTGTTGCCATAGTGGCACATTCTTTGATTTCGTCGAGGCTAAATTGTCCGCCATTATCGACTCCCCGTCACTACTAAACAACTCCAGGCTACAGTAGAGGCCTTGGCGCATATGCACTCGCACCCCCTAGCTCAGTCCTCGCCCCACCCCCCTCTCTCTCCTGCTTGCTGTGCGCTTGGTGAAGAGGCAGACACAGGTGCTCACAGACTTGGGCGTACTATAAGCGGAGCGGACTCCATGTAAAAATGTCCGTGAAAAATCCCCGCGATGTGGAAATACATGCCGAACAGTCTTTTGTGTGACACTGGTGCGCGGAGTGGAGTCCGCGTGGTCGTGCTTTGCGTGCACAGGGCTTGCAGACATCCACTTTTACCGGGCGGACCTCCGCGGAGTCCGCTCCATGTACGTTCCGCCCAAGTATGTCTCAAGAAAAAAAAAAAAAAAACCCGGTCCAAGACGGAGTACCGAACCAAATTGGTATTACCGAGAACCGACCCAACCCTAATGTCCACCACTAACTTTTTGCTGCCTTTCTTTTGGGAAAAATCCAAACCTTTAATTTTGTGATACGGTCATCACGTACTGTAAAGACGAAGATTTGAATCATCATCCAGTAATCCCTAGAGGAAGAAGTTTTACAAGCATAGTCTTACATACCTGTCAACCTAAATGTAACAGAAATGTGGAAAGGAGTGATGATTACTGTGCAGAAAGAAAGGCTGTGCACAGCTCTACCTTTTCTATTTTGCTGAATGCTTGCAAGGTTGGCCATACAAATCCTGATCCAGACCAAACCACTTAAATGCCACTGTAGCTGACAGTGCTGCCAGGAGCCATGCAGGGAGACACTCCATCAGGATTTGTAAGTCAGGGCAACAGAATGCTAAATACATTGTCAGCCCACTTTTGAACAGACTGCTCTTTGGCCTTACAGTACTAAAAAGCAGCACCAGCATTGTGATTAATAAACAGAGTCAAAGCTTACTAAATGTGACGACGACAACAACAAGAAAAGTAAGTGATTTAGTAAACTTTTGTGGACACAGAACAGTTGTTGCCTTTGCTGGAAATTTGATTGGCCGCCTTGCTTTTATTTGTGAAGTTTCCACAGCACAGTCACTTTTTACACTGCTGCACCACTATGTTTTCAGGTGTTCCATCCGTCTGTCTGTCCCATTCTCGTGAGCACGATATCCCAGGAACACCTAGAGGGAATTTTATTACATTTGACACAGACATCCACTTGGACTCAAGGATCAACTGAACATAGATTTTGGTGATGAAAGGTCACTTTGACCTCTCAAACACCTTTTTTGACCATAAATCTAGTATTCTTACACTAATTATGACTAAATTCCCAGAAATGTCTAAAAGGATAAAATGATGAAGTGATAACATTTTTTATCTAAAAGGACAAAGGTCAATTTTACTGTGACATCATATTGCTGTCTGGCCATTATTCAGACACTTGTATTGGGGATCCACCTTGAAACTGTGCTGATACGTATTTAGCTGATATTGAGCTTGAGTTGCTTGTCGTTGTACCATGTGACAAAGCTCCTAATCTGTCCTCTGGACTACTCTGTAAAACTGGTATCTAAGTGAAGAGAGCATGTTTCTTACTGGAAATTATCCACTCGAATCATACATGTCAGCATAGTGATAACTTCCATTTTGCCAAAAAGTACACTTCATACCTTTTATTAAATTCCTTCATAGTCTTCACTACATATATTATTAGTGTGGATAGACATGGATGTAAACTGTAACTTGACTGGTTGGGGAGGCAGTATTTCTAGTTTCCTATTTTGTTGTGTCAGCTTTTTTAGGCTCCTCTCTGCTCTGACAGAGTGCCAGTAGAGACTAATGAATGTTATCTAATGTATATTATCAATCCTGTTTTGAATGGCTTAGGACCAAATACCATAAGCATCACTATTATAAAGAAAGCATAGAGCACAGCAGTTTGTCAGTGTGCAGAGTTGAGCATTGACAGTTGTACTCAGTTGAACTATGTATTCAGATATTTAGAGTAGTTTTGTCTTGTCTTGTTGTTTGTACAGTTCGTATTTGTGAGACGTCATGTGGTACACGTTGAGCTATTTGAAAACATGATACACTTCATGATAATGACAAAAGGCAGTAACAGTCGCAATAGTTTTTACAAGAGAAATGAAAATGAAGGTGCTAAGTGGAGTTACTTGGTCATACATTCAGTCTAAAACAATGTGTTAGGTAGTGTATCCTGTATCCAGTCATGGTGGCTCAGAAGTTGTTGAATGCTGTTGTAAGGACTAAAACAGTGAGGGTTACTGTTTGTTGAGTCCCAATGACGAGTCCGCGACATTTATTCCTGTTAGCTGCTGGGTTAGAGTTAGCTACTTTAGACCTCTTGGTCAAAGACTCCGGGCTTGGTGTTGTGCTTGTGTGTGTTGAGAAACTGTCAAATCTTGTGGGAGATGTCCAGGCAAACCGCATGAGGTCCCCAGATTCATTCACTCCTCTTTTGTCCTGATATATACCTGTCTCAAAAAGTGCTGATTTCACCTGGGAATTAGATGTAATCTCTGCAGTCCTTGCAGGTGATTGGCCATTATATTCTTCACCTCTGCTGTTAACCCATAGTGGTGGCTCTGTGAACAGTGCAGAGTGCCACTCCCTTCCTGGTGTTGCCTGATGAGTTTGCCCGCATATAGGTCTTGTATAGCAGGGACAGCCTAGTATGGTAGCACGGGTCTGCTCAGCCCACGTCAGAAGCTTTGTTATGTTTTCTTCTTCTTCACAAGCCCAGGGGTTATCCCCAAGAGTCATCACCTCCAGCCCCATCAGCTTATCAAATATCCCGTCATACAGCCAGGAGAAGCGATTAGCATGCAGATAGAACTTAGCCAGCCTCGGCAGCCGATCCAACGATCCAGGCAGGATCTGCATCAAATAATTATGAGACAAATCAATGCTCTCCAAGTTGTGTGGCATATTGGTGGGCACTGTCCAAAATCTGTTGTGACTGAGATTGAGAGCTTTGAGACTTGGAAGTGTGTTGTTGATGAAGACCACTCTCTCCAGCTCATTGTCCGACAGGTCCAGCACTTTCAGATTCCAGTGATAAGCTGTATCGTTTTTGTCCAGCAAGCGTAGATGGTTCCCTGCCACTCGCATGTCCCACAGAGACCGCGGCAAGGCAGGAGGCAGGGTCTCCAGGCGGTTGTAGGACAAGTCCAGGGTTCGCAGGTGGGCATAGTGGGTGAGCTGGTTTTCCAGTTGCTGCAAACTGTCAGAAGAGTGTAATATTAAATTCTTATTATTCTTACACTGCTGTCCTACAAAATGATGTACCAAAACTCATTTTATTAGCAGTCTCATTACTGTTATTATAGAGGCAGGTAAAATCTATATTCAACTTCTGCTGAACAGCATACACTAAGAACTACGAGATGATGGGAAATGCTAAAATGTAGTGTAATTCTACATTACTACAAATTGACTCTTTAATGTCAGTGACACAGCATTGTCTATCTCAAGTTTGCTGACATTAGCCACCATAATCACTGATTATATCTGATCAGCTTCAGTTGACCATTTATTACTTAAGAGTTCAACTTGTCATTTGTAAGAGGAAGAAAGAGTTGGTACCTCTTTCATAAGCTTCATAGATACATTCACAGTGCTTTCCTACAGCATTAGTTATCATCCTGATGCTTTACAATGCAAGTGTATGAATTATGGTGAGCTGTCCCCTACTCTCTGATTTGGTCATGTTAGAGGCTCAGACAGATCATTATCTGGAATAGCTCCATATTTGTAACAGTGGGGTCCTTGACAAGCTGTTTTACCATCCACACACTGGCACAATATTTCTTCTTTCTAACTCTAACCCTAGCCTTTTTCAGAAGAAATAGATTCATGAGTGTTGAGCTAACCTTGTAGCCTCTCTTAGCTCTTATATGCACAGGAATCCAGTAATTGTTGAAGAGCAGGCCTGTTATGAAAATGACATAGCAGAGCTGCAGATGCTTACCTGTTAAAGGAGAGGTTGAGAAAGTGGATGTTGTGCTGCAGACCAGGCGGCAGCTTGGTTAGGCCTCGTGAGGAGCAGTCCACCACACGGTGTCCGTGGCTGCAGGAGCACACGGTGGGGCAGATGGACAGCACCCAGCCTCCTAGCAGCCCACACAGCAGCAGGAGGAATAGGCAGAGCAGTGAGGCAGGGCTGACAGGCATAGTCAGGGCTCTGGAGAATGACAGAGAAGTGTTGGGAAGGATACAAAGACAGGCATCATGAATTGATTGTAAAAAAAAAAAAAAAAAAGGAAAGTTAAGGGTTTATACAGTTTCATGCGTGATGGATTTGATTTTCCATATGTATTATGGTAAATTAGTTCATTCAAATTCTGCCCTGTTGTTAAAGAGTCTCATTTTGATACTGTTATGACAACTGGATTTCAAAAGGGTGCTAGTCATCCTGATTGCCAACCAGCTTGAAGCTCTGCCAGTGGGACTGGAGCTCAGAGTACTGCAGTGAAACTCAATTCATTCAGGGCATTAGAGTAACTGTGTGTCCGCAGCAGCAGATGATGTTTTGATCGAAACACTACAGGTCCGTGTCAGTTTATGTTATCAAAGACAGGACTGTGGAACATGTTAACACCCTTTAACTGTTTTCCAGAAATGTCCTCATGTCGGTGCGTTATTTGGTTGATGATGGCAGTTGATGCTCTGCTGTGCCATCACTTAACTCCTCTGTTTGTTTCAGTACTAAAATATTACTACTTTCAATGTCTCCATGCAATACTAAGAGGAAAAATCTCTGCATAGTGACAGAGCAGGGAGTAGTTTCCTGCGCACTGCATTATCAAGATTCCGAAAGAAATGATTCACTGCTCAGGTGTGTGTGGGTCACATGTTTTTCCTTATCTTCCTATTTCAAATCACTCACCTCATCCTCTCTAGTGTTGGTCTGTCATCTCTCCTTTTCTCCTGTCGTCTTGCTCCAGCAGTCTTTTTCCTTGTTTTTTTTTTTTTTTTTTTAATTGGTTGTGGTTGAAAGGTACTGGTCTCACCGTCTTTTCTCTGTCTGTAAAGGATGCTGTGGCAGGGCATTAAACATCCTGGCTGCAAGCGCCGGCCGCCATCCTGCTTATCGTTCTGCAGGGTCCCGATGCAGCTGGAGGTTTGGGTTAGGAGGAGGAGAGATGCATCGAGGGGAGGGAGAGGGAGAGAGAGAGAGAGAGAGACAGAGAGAGACAGAGAGAGACAGAGAGAATTGCAGCAGCGGCCAGCTCTGCTGCTGATGAGGCAGGCTGTGTGTGTGTATGTGTTTGCTGACAATGGCATGCCTCACAGCAGCAGCTTTCTCTCTCTTATGCACACACATTCTTATAAACACTTTATTTTAGTAATGAATAAAATTATTTCAGCTCCTGATGTTGTTTAGGTTCAGTGTGTCTGCTTCCATCAGCTTGCTTTCCAGCAGCAGACATAATCTCTACTACTATCTGGATTAAAGAGGCTGCAGTGGATTCTTTTGTAATTCCTATGTATGGAATGACAATGTGAAAATAATGTGATAGTGTGTAAGGGGTCTCTTGTACTTATGAACCCACAGACAACTTAAATCTAAATCTGCAGATCTTTATAGTAAGTTTGAGGTCATTGTTGTGCTGTCCAGCCTGCAACTTCAGTCTTTTGGTCCCTTTCAAATTTTTCTGCTGCAGCTGGCAGCTGTTTTCAGAAAAGAAGCTCTAAAAGCTGCGACCTGCTCAGCAGCACACTAGACAGACACAGCCAGAGACTAGCAGGTTAACATATCACAGCATTTTGCAGCGAAAGACTGTTATTTTAGAGCAGGCCAGAGATTAAATGAGAATGAAAACAGGGCTTCCATATTCCACTGCAAATAATTGCAGATGTTGTTCTGTGTCTTCTGGACATTTGATACTATGTGAATGCCAAAAAATGTGATCATCATGATTATTTTAAGGCCCAGACACACCAAACAGACTTAACAGTACTAGCGGCGACAAAGACCCCCTGCTGCGTCACCTGACGTAGCTGTGTCTTGGCCAAAAAGTTGCACATGGACACGCAGCAAAGACTACAGCCAATGGCCAGCCAGCATGTACAGTCTGTGCCTGCATGAGAGGAAATAGCTCTCTACACCAGCAGACAGTGGTAGTCTGTAAATCGTCATTCCAAAGGGGAAACCGGAAGACCATCTTTACACTAGTAAGCCAGTCAGCACATTAACAACACAATCCAATGTTGAAAGAACAGAACATATTAAACGTGAGCCTGTGAGCCTGTGAACAGTAACACAAACCATCAGGAAATGTTTCTGCTAAAGAGCTCAATAGATAAACAATAATAATCTGACCTTATGGAACAAGTTTGCGCGGGTCTTATTCCCTGTGGACTTAAGCTCTTTGTGTATTTTCCTCATTTCTGTTTCTCTCTTCGTGCACTGAGCTGAACTGCCAGTCAGAGTGATTTCATTCACAGACAGCCTCGGCTGTTGCCTACATCGATTTCAATGTGCTGAATCTGCAAAAAGGGAAGGGGGCCAAGAAGGGGAAATGATATGGGACACACCACACGGACTAGGGCGACAGAAGCTCACCAACGGCCCAACACTGACCAATAGCCTGCTGTCAGCTTGGTGTGTCAGGGCTTATAAGGCCGTGACACTGAAAACATTAAGTGTTACTCTTGCATGTAATACAATGTAATGAAATAATGGAAACACACATAGTAGGTTTCCTGCTTTTAATGAAAACAAACTTTAATTAAGACGTATTGTTTGAACTCTTAATTTTTATTTCATTAAACATCACAAAATCACTTTTGTCTGACTAGAACATTCCACTGCTGGCACTCCAGAATGAAGGTAGCACATGGCTGGAAGCACTTTTAGTTTTCTTGGCTCGTGGCCATGCTCATAGGGAATCAGAAAGTAAACAGAGCATCAGTTCATGTGTTAGGTTCCTCCCTTTGTCAGTAAAATGACTATTAAGTATGACTATGGTTTCGGTTTAGCTAAAATAGCTATATGCTGTTATCCTGATTGCAGTGAAGTCGTTCACTTTGTTTTTGGTCTGCCATGTTAAAGTAATTTGAGGCAACCAGTTAATGATCAGCTGTAAAATTATTTGATAGTTGGAAGTAGATTTCCTTTTAATTTTACGTTCAAAAGCACAGCCACAAGAAACTCAAAACCACTTAAAGTTATACAAAATCTACACTAACAAAATTTGAACAAAACAATCATGATTATTACTAACTTGCAAAGAAACAACTTGATTAAATACACCTACATACTCTTCTTATGACTCATAGCCTAGAAATGACACGCTGTGAAAACCGCATAACCACATGGAGCAGAGCACTTAACATCTGAAACCATTAACCCACTGTGGCACTGAGCAGTTCCCCCTCCCATCTTACACTTCCACCCATTTCTGATATGCCCTTGATTGCAAATTAAATTAAAAAGGACTCAGTAAACCAAACCAGACCCCAGGGCTTAGGCTGCACCAATAGTAATGGTGGCAATTTTTTAATCTGGATCCAGATTCACACCAAAAATTAATCACTAACACTAACAAATAAGCTAATGATGACTATCATATTTATGAAGGCCAATTAAACAAACTACAGTGAATCTACTTGCCTTGCAATTCCACAAGTTTTCATTTTGTGTAGTTCATTCTAGTGTTTTGTTTTCTTACAAAGCCTTATATGAGTAGTCTACTTCTGTTTGCCATATAAAGACTGACAGTCCGCAGTAGGTGCAGCTGGGAGCTAAAAAGTGCAAAGCCTGAGGAAAATGGAGTACTGGCTGACAGTCCTGTTGCCATTGGTTTCTATTGATGGTGGTGCCCACACTTCCACTGGCTCACTATGAGGAGCAAAACTCCCTTGAAAGCAGATATTCGAAAATCCCCTTTTTTCGGACTCAAAGCACAAGCTTCACAAAACAAATTCAGTTATGACTAACTAATCTACAAGTCAGATATTGAGAAACTAGCTCTTGAGAAATGTTTGGAAAGTTTTGAAACCTGCTATATAAACTACAGAGGGCCCAGGATACTGACCCTTCTTACTTGTCAACTGTAAATGCTACATTACTCTGCAGATAGCAAATCAGTGAGAAAAACAAATATTTGCAATTACTTCGACTGACTGGTATGTCAGATAAAACATGATTCAGGATTTTTTTTTTTGTATTCACATAATCTCACACCTAAGCCAATATGTAGAAAATGCAAGCATTGCATTATGGCACAGCTATTAGTTGTTTGTTAAACAGTATGTTGTTACCTAATAACTGTTCTCACCACCACACGACCTTCTACTTTTCATCACATGCAAGATGAATACAAAGGTGCTTGCATGCATCATATGCTTATATTTTCTCCATAAGCACTCATCACAGGTCGGAGAGGGCAGACATGTTGGGAAGAAAGCATTTTAAATTTACACTCTTCAGGTCTGGGTGACATTTTCACATGACGATAAAGAAAATATAGCAGGGGTCTTGTGTGAGAATCCCTGCAGTGGTGATGGACAGAGACACAATTACCCTGCCTGTAGTTAGCTACAACCAGGGTGACTTACAGTGAAGACTCCAAGTAGCCTGACTTATGACCTGTGCATCACACATGAGTACGAAAGCGTAGAACTGCCAAGGCAGAAAAAGGGAAAAAAAAAAAAAAGTTTCTTGTTTTTCACATTTTTACAAGATATTTTCATGTTAAAAGTTTCATGTTATAACAAGATAAATAAATACACTGTTATAGCAAGAGAAGTTTCTTCTTTTTTTTTGTTTTTACAAGAAAAGCTTCTTGTTCTAACATGAAGACATCTCCTTATAACAACTTTTCATATTATTACTTGATACTGTTCATTTTGTCCCCTGGTGTGGCATTCATATGCTTCCAAAATTGAGGATCTGACAACATGAAAAAATGCTTTTTTTACTTGTAGTTCTGACACTTGGGGTTACTTAATAACATTTTCCTTTTGTTGTTCTTGCTATACTGTAATGGTTTTTGTTGTTGTTGTTTTAATTTTGCAGTAGTGACCTAGATGAATATTGCTTCTCTCTTGTCATGATTTCCTCAGACGATGACATGTTATTTTACTGTGTTCTCAGTCATATTTGTTGCTGCCTTGAAGCCAGTGAAAGTGGATGTGTTGTGGTCTTTGGAGCTTAAGTTTAATTATGGTTGCTCAAAGTCATAGTTCAATTGTCCTGGGGCATAGAGCAGGGGTTTTATTGATTGGTCTTATTTGGGGTTTGCAGCCTCCACATTGTTATCTGTGTACACCAGGTTGCTCTTTTGTGAAGAGGTCACTGAGACAGGGTTTTCAACCTCTCTGGAGCATCTCCTGTACTTTTCATTTCTGGAACAACTACAGCAGTCCCATTGCTTTCTTGTACATAATTTCCATCCACCTCTCGACCAAATGTAGTACCTTGTGTCATGTCTTCTAACTCCTCATCTGTGTCTGGGAGCATGGACAACCTTTTGGTGAGGCTCTGAGGCAGGAAGCTAGACAGAGAAATTCGGTTCGATGACCTCAGTGTGACCTGGCCATTGTCGGCTCCACCCTCAAGAAATGGTGAAGGACCTGCCCAGTCACTAGTTGTTATCTGCTGCCTCCGAAGGTTCCATTGCTTTATATAGATGAGTAGGAATCCTACCATCATCAGTACCAGGGCTCCACCTATCAGCCCTGCCACTGCTTTACTGTGGTCTGTGCCCTTATTGAGCGTTGCTTTTTTTTGTAGAGGATCTTGTCTTTCCTTTGCCTTGTTGATGTGGATAAATGGTGTCTTTTTTGTGGCAACTGAAGTTTTGTATAAACCTGTTGGCTGCATAGCACCATGCGTGACATGGCTTGTGGTTGTAGATTTGTATTCACCAGGCTTGGTAGAACTGGTTGTGGTGGAGATAAGTTCTGTAGACAATGTTGGACGTGTAGATAATTGGGTCATTTTATCACTGCTGAATGGGCTTTGAGTGGAGCTGCTCAGTACTGACGGTACCCTTGTAGCTGTGGTTGGGATGCTGGTGTGACTGGTAGCAATGGTTATTGCTGATGTTATGACTGTAGAGCTGTTGAACTGAGAATCAGTGGAATTGGTTGGAGTTGCTGCTGTTGTCTTTGAAGGCATTGTTAGAGTACTTTGCAGTGAAGGTTTAGTGGTGGAGTTTGTAGCTTTTTCCTCTGCTGGATTTGCATCAACTTTGATAGACGGTGTCATGTTAGGACCTGAGACCTCTGACAGTGGGTTTGAGCTGAACGCCTCCTGTGTTGTCAGCTGGTCATGAGTGAACTTATTTGGTGTTTCCTGTGTTTCTGTCATGGCATCAGTAAGGTTTTTATTGTGGCCAGATGTCACTGCGCTACTTGCTGTCAGTGGCAGCAGCCATATGAAAATGAGGCTTACAAAATGGATGCTCATTGTTTTCTTAAGTCTTGAGGCTGGTTGCTGTGTCTTCATAGCTACAACAGAGGAAGTTAATTTTGTTAGATATGCGCAGCATACAGTCTGAAGCAATGTGCTGTTATGAAATGTAACCTGGTGTTGCATCATTCATTTCCCCAAAATGCAACTTTACATAGGCATAGGATTCAACAGTACATAGAGGGTATACTTAAAGCACTGCAGTTTTATTGGACTTGCAGTCGTCTCTCCACTGGTCTTTAGTTACACTTTACAATGTTAAAATAACCTACTATAAATGAGGTTTTCTATTCAATCAAGAAAGTAAGTGTTGGCTTTGATAATGATGATGTTTTTTTTTTTTGTTTATCAACTTTTAATTATCACTTCTCAGTCACAAATTACTCCAAAGTGCTTTAGTTTTCATTATCACCTCTAAGTTTTGGTAGTGGGACTGTTTTCAATCCACTCAATATATAAAGAAGTTGTCTGTAAATAGATTAGTTATCTTTGGCTCATTCTCTGTACACTTTTATGTGGACACTTTGCCTAAATTTTAGCTCCGGCATCAATCCAAAGTGCTCAAATTATTAGGTGGGCTTAAAGCTCCATTAATAATTCAAAGGAATAAAATGTACTCACCAATGACTTTATACCAATAACCACTATAACCCGTTGGCTGTGTTGCTCCAGGATGTGTGAAGAGTTATGGTAATGGGATATTTTGCTGTTGCCCGTCTGGCAGAGCGTCCCTTGCAAGAACTAGGGGCATAGTAGGCTTCTCTCTGCTGAAATTGTGACTACTCTTGCCTCACTTACAGGAAGTGTGACATGTGAAACTGATGACAATCCTCTGCATCTTCAGTCTGCTGTGCTAAACATAGTAGTTCATGTTTCAGCCTTACTTCACTAAGAAATGTTAAAACAGAGCTAAATTGAAACATGTAGTGTACATGTAGGCCTGGTGGCTTGCACATGTTATTAAGGTTCTTGCAGCTATTAAATTGAGATCATACATGGCCCTTGATTCTGTTGAGTCATCAAGCGTGGTAACCTGAACAGTGGCTGCACATCTATACTCAGGGTCCATGTACCTGCTATGTCAGATAGGCATGGACATGACTCACTTTTTTTAAATGTGCTCTGTGAGTCAGCCTTGCACAAATCAAACACTGAAACTGCCTGGGTAAAAGCACAGTGACATCTTATGACATAAAGCTTACACATTTTAAACCACACAAACTGTTTTGCAGTTGTGTGCCATGTGCTATGATAAGAGTTGCTGATCAAGAGACTGATATAATGATGAGGTTGACAATACTTAATTGTCTGCCCAGATGCACTAGACCAAGAGTCTACAATCTGTTGCCCATGCAGTTGAACATTAACCTCAGTCTAATGGCCAGAGGAGCCTCTGTTTAGCCTTCTTAATGCCCTGGTAACACGGAGACGCGTTGCTTCAAAAACAGTGTGGTGCACCTGTGGAGAGGACCAAGGACCATGTGCAACTGGGCAATCAAATGTGATTAACGGAACAACACACACAAACTACTTTTCTGTCATCTGATTGATTTGATTGGCTGCCTGGGCCAAGTGTGACATTGACAAGCAGTGCGTAGAGTATTTGAACTTTAATGCTTGTCTGAAAACTACTAGAAATAACATAACACACTGTGTAAAAGAGGAGTGCATGCTATGCTCAGCGTACCACAAGAAAACAGGGGTTTGCTGTCAACACATTTCTGGTGATGTTTTCAGTTTGAACGAGGCCCAACTGTGTTTCTTTACAATGCCAACACCCCAAACCTCTCTGTTACTACAGCTGTTTTTTAGTCACATCGACTCATGCACAGGGAATAATAGGTAACACGTTATTTGAAGGGGTGGGCATTAGACTGTCATGACACCAGTCATGACCATGAAGGAGTCTTTATTAATGTTAAGACTGTTGTCATTTAGTGTCCTTTGATCAGTTGTGACAGTTTTGATTTTAAGTAAACATTGTTTGAGATGTTTTTGTTATGAAAACTTGACATTAATCGAGACAGCATGACCTGTCATAAGCATGCCATGGCAGACCCAAGCATCCAACTTACAGAAACTGTGTTAAGCTTTATGTGTTAATGTCACAGGGTGGAAGTGGAATGTTTGGAAGGGGCACTGCACTAGTCTTAATTAAGAGTCCAAATTGCACCACTGAAGTTAAGGTTAAGAAAAATATTTATGACAAAGTTATTTGTAGTAGTCTCATGACTGACATTGTAATGCACACCCCTTCAAATAAAGTGTCACCAAATGATGTTCTTAATAATGATAGTAAGAAGAACTACCACACCTTAAATACCTAAGTATTTATCATCTGGCTATTCATTTTTTTTTTCAATTATGCTTCAGTGCTTCTTTTAATAACTACACTCACTAAAGAAGCCAATATTAATAAAGGGATAGTGACTTGAATCATGAATATTGTTTTAAAAATACATTTTAGAGACACTGACACAATGCAAAAATCCATTTATTTTAAACCCGACATTTGAACAGGCTCTGTTTTATTTGCACAAGTGTTATGAAAAACAGAAGTATTAGAGAGTCTACAGCACAGGTAAGAGATGACTGATAGCTAAATTGACAGAAGAAATGTTCAACAAAGATTATTTAAGACAACAAAAACTTTTAGCAGACATTGTACCCAAGTTTCTGACCATCATTTTAATATGACTTTGGCAGCACTCGAGCTCCCTGGTGTCATATCTACTACTAGATGTTGGGAACAAAATTAAGCAGTCTTACAGTGAATACTGAATTTGATAAGCAAATGTGTAAGAATAACCAGCATATCATGTTAGATGTTTAAAAGTTATACTTAACTTATTCTTTGCAAATATGTACACCTCATTCTTTTTAAAATAAAAAATATGTTTGAAAATATCTTTCTTGTGTCAGACACAAGAATTTTTTGGTATGGGTACTGTAACTCCAGGCAGAGGTTACTGGGTTTTTAGTTAGATTCTGTGAAGTGCAATAAACTGGAATGAACATGCTAAGTTAAACCAGAAAACATTGGCTGAACTGACTGGTTGCTGTTTGTCTTGAGTGAAGTGTGTGGGGCTGGAGTTTACCTCCTCACACAACAAGAGGCATGTCCTCTAGATCCCTGGGAACCTCCAGACAGGAATCTTTGGAGCACGAGCTCTGCATCTGACTGCCCTTTTCTTCAGGATCAAATGTCATTGCCGTGGACCCTCTCTCAAGTCCTGCATTTCCCTCTTCCTTTGCCTCTGGTATTTCAGCCTGGCGCTCTTCCTCCATCTTGCTGTCTGATCTTACCTCCTCAAGCATGACACTAGCATCACATGGCCCAACCAGTCCTCTGACTTCAGGCCGGTCAGTGCCCCAGTAGCCTGTACCGCTCACCAAGTCCATGTTGGACCTGGAGGTGCGTGGGGCATAAGCGCGGCGCTGAATGAGGCAGACCTGGCATGCCAGTACCACGGTGGCAACTAGCAGACAGACAATCAGCCCCCCTGCTGAACCTATAGCAATCAGACCCATCTCTGTGTCGATCAAGCAGTCAGCACGAGTGCCATTGCTCTCTGTGTCAGGTGAGTTTGTGTGGCCAATGGTAGTAAAGCTGGGCTCCACAGCTGGGGCTGAGCTGCCACCTTGATCTTCTGTTTTGTACGAATTTGGCTGCAAGGTTGAAAGGTCTTGGTCTGCATCCGTAGGACAGAACGGCAGCTGGTTGAGCAGAAGAAACAGCCAGAGAGAAGTTCTGGTGCCTTCCATTATGCTCTGAAATTAAGAGCGGAACTGTAGGCTTAGTGCATCACTTAAAACATTCACCTAAACTGTTAAAGGTGAATGTAAATTCGCAAAATCACTCAAAGCTCTGATGAAGCCACTACTCAATTTCTTAAATGATGCCATCGCACAAAATTCAGACCAAAAAGTTGATTTTACAATTAAGTTTGCCCCTTAATGATTTTAAAAGTTTCATTTTTAATGTGAGCGTGATCTTGTATTGACAATACTTACTTGCAGTCTTATGTGGAGGTCTTGGTGGAAGGATGGAGTGAGACACCTGCTGCAGACAGGCTCTTGAGATGCTCTGAACTCACTTCCTGACCCCCTCTCTGGGTCTTTTTCTGCTCTGGTTATTTTGGGGCCTCTCGCTGATACCACACACACTGAAGAGCTCTTACAAGAAAAGACAGACACAAAAAAATTTTCTCAGAACCCAAATGGCTGTCATTAGTGTCACATATTATGCTTTAAACAGGCTCATTTAGGCAGGCTCATGTACACAACTAACCCCAAACACAATAATGCATTATAAACTGAATTTTAATTTGACCTGGCTAATTTTTTTAATCTCTTTTCCTCAGGTTCAAAACAGGCCAGATCAATGGTGACCTGCTCATCTACCATGTCCTCCTAACTCTCAAACCCTACTACGCTAAACCCTATGAGATTGTAGTAGACTTAACACACGTAGGACCCAGCAATCGCTTCAAAACCGACTTCCTGTCCAAGTGGTTTGTGGTCTTTCCTGGCTTTGCCTACGAGAATGTATCAGCTGTCTATGTCTACAACTGCAACACCTGGGTGAGGGAGTACACTAAGTACCATGAGCGGCTACTGACAGGCCTGAAGGGCAGCAAGCGTCTCCAGTTCATTGACTCTCCAGCTAAGCTGGCAGAGCACATCGAACCTGACCAACAGAAGCTGCCCGCAGCCACACTAACCTTGGAGGAAGACCTCAAAGTGTTTCATAATGCCCTCAAGCTGGCCCATAAAGACACCAAGGTCTCAATAAAGGTGAGGATGCAGCCAGCACATAGCAGTTTGTACTAAGAGGTGCTGAATACCTTATAGACTAAAAGAATTAGATTAGAGAAGGTATGTTCATTAGAGAAATTCAAGCAACCCTTGGGTTTCCTAAGTGTGTTTTCTTGTTGATCAGGTGGGCTCGACGGCAGTTCAGGTGACCTCAGCTGAGCGGACCCGTGTCCTTGGACAGCCCGTCTTCCTCAATGACGTCTACTACGCCTCAGAGATTGAAGAGATTTGCCTGGTGGATGAGAGCCAGTTCACCCTCACCATGGCCAATCAGGGCACACCACTCACATTCATGCATCAGGAGTGTGACGCCATCGTCCAGTCCATCATCCATATCCGGACACGCTGGGAGCTGTCACAGCCTGACTCCATCCCACAGCACACCAAGATCCGACCAAAAGATGTACCTGGCACTCTGCTTAACATTGCCCTGTTGAACCTGGGCAGTTCTGACCCAAGCCTCAGGTCAGTCCCGTTGGGCACTTAACAGTTATTCTGGACCCAGAAAAACACAGTAGCCTCACCAACTCAGTAAGAAAAATGTGAGGCTGCATATGAAAAAGGGGTCTCCATGTATTTGAGACACCAAGGGTTTTCTTCTTGCCAAACAAGTTGTAATTTCTGCTGTGGACACTTCTCAGGGGGAAGAATTAACAATTCAGTGTAAAAAGTAAAATCCATATTGTTGTCTAAACTGCAGCAGCACTTGCTTTTGTATCAGGATTGGTAAGTACCAAAATTTGAAATTTGTTTTAGGAAACAACTGTTAAATTATCTTGTGTGGTTTCAGTTCCAACTTAAATGACACTACACAGAGAAGCTGTTAAAACTTGAAAACAGTTTTTTGCACTACTCTTATTGACAGAGTCTAACACCTCTTACTTGTTGTCTATCCCACATCCAGGTCTGCTGCATACAATCTATTGTGTGCTTTGACCTGCACCTTCAACCTGAAGATAGAGGGTCAGCTGCTGGAGACATCAGGCCTCTGCATCCCTGCCAACAACACCCTCTTCATAGTCTCCATCAGCAAGACTCTGGCTGCCAATGAGCCCCATCTGACACTGGAGTTTCTGGAGGAGTGCATTTCAGGCTTCAGCAAGTCCAGTACGTCTATTTAACACAGCTGCCAGGAGACATACACATGCTCTCACATGCGTGTGTGTGTATCCACCTTATTCCTAGCCCCCATGATCCGTTGCGGGAATTATATGCGTGACTTCCACCATTGAATCGAAAACGGTAATTTCCAATGGTAACACTGAGTCTGTTAAATGGGATCCTACATTTCCCATGATGCAAGCAATAGCAGCATTTTGTTAGACCGTCTCTGCCAGGTAAATACCCTCGTCTGTCAAACTGCAAATTTGACAAAGCTCCTCCAGAGCCACCGAAGACACTGTACAATGGTTTAAACATGCTGAGTGAGTATTCGTCATTCTGAGTTAATGGGGAAAGGTGTTTTTGCACAGTAAAAGCAATTATCGGAAGTGCATTGATTAGTGTTGGTTTTCCGTTGCAGGTATTGAGCTGAAACATCTCTGCCTGGAGTACATGACACCCTGGCTGCTCAACCTGGTTCGTTTCTGTAAGCACAACGATGATGCCAAGCGTCAGCGTGTCACTGCCATTTTGGATAAACTCATCACCATGACAATCAATGAAAAGCAGATGTATCCCTCTATCCAGGCCAAGATCTGGGGCAGCCTAGGCCAGGTGAGTCTACCACACCAATAGCCTTACAAGTCAAACTGTGTTGTGGATTTGGCCTCTACTGTAACTTTCTCACTGTGTCCCCAGATAACAGACCTGCTGGATGTTGTGTTGGACAGCTTTATTAAGACTAGTGCCACGGGAGGCCTGGGCTCCATCAAAGCAGAGGTTATGGCTGATACTGCAGTGGCTCTGGCTTCAGGGAATGTCAAACTGGTCTCCAGCAAGGTGAGCTAATACATTCTGGAATAGTGTCTGCAGGGTTACCTGTGCTCAGCACATATTTTATCATAGACATATTTTATTGATGAAGTCTGAAGCTGTTCGAGGCTGAGAAATAAAGCCAAAGCAGAAGTGCCAAAAACTGCCATTCTTCTAATGGCCACTAGAGGCTGGCTCCAAAGCAGAGTCAGTCCCCATAGACCCCCATGTTTAAATGCCCAACCTTACAGCAGAAATAAACATGTTTACAAAAAAACAGCGTTGGTCTCTATAGCTATTTTCAACATTTATGACAACTGTACAGGGGGTGAATTTTTGTATAGCTCACCCCTTTACACTTTATTAAGGCCCAAAGTTGTGCATATTTAAGGGCAGGGCTGCTTTGAGTGACAGACTGCAAGGCCTCACCACAATCTGTGAGTCAGATCCACTCCTCGCTCCTTTACAGCTCTAGCCTCTTGTCCAAATATGGTCACTTCTGGCTTCAAAAAGCCAAGATGGGGATGGCCGAAATGCCAAACTCGAGGCTTCAAAACAGTAGTTCACAAAACAGTGGGTGATGTCACAGTAGCGACGTCTATTATTTGTACAGTCTATGGGTATTAATGACCTCTACCTTGTCAGAGGAGACTTCACGTCTGTTTTTTTTTTTTTTTTCCACCCAGTGATCTGAGTGTTTGTGAGCAAATACCTCAACCTGTCATATATTCATATAATTCAACCTGTTTTGAAAGCCTCTACATGGTGTTACCCCTGTTTATTTGTTTGTAATAATTTCATACTTGTTGCATTGTATTCAGTTGGCCAAATTCAAAAGGTCATTGTCTTTGTCAAATAACATCAATAGCAGAGAATCATTCGCAATTAGAATCCCGCCAACTTTTAATGAATGGAAGCCATATGAAAGTTGGAGGAATGAAGTGGCAATTTGGACCAAAGTCGAGGCCGGTTCTACGCAGGGGCAAGAGGGGGCAATGCCCCCTCAAACAAATGTCTTGCCCCCTCACATCAAATCCGCCGAAAAAGGCACAAAACAGAAAAGTTTTGTCATCTGTCTCCTAGGGCTGGGCGATGTGGCCTAAAAAAAAAATCTCAGATTTTTTCACAACAAATCCGATTCACGATGTAAATCGATTTTTCAGCTCTAATTAAAATCAATTTTCAGAAAAATATTTGCGGCCTGGTAGCATGTATCTGGGCTCCAAAACTTTCAGCATGTGAATAAACCCTGGCTTTTCCACGGGAAATATGGGCACCATATCTCTTGCAAGATACATCACGACTGCATCCGTGATCGCTTTCCACCAGGTCCCTTTCTCATCATACGGCAGTGTTTCCCCTACCATTATATTGAAGGTCAAGTTAGTGTTATTTAATTTTGTTTTCTATATAGCTCCAGATCACAACAGAAGTCATTTACAGGTCTATACCCTGTCCTTTTATCAAACTAACTAAAGAGCCTTATGTTATTTATCTTGTTTACACAACGGCATGTCAGTTCTGTCTGTACATGGTGCACGTTTACAGTCCTCCTCTGCTCTGTGTCACGCACGGCGGAGTTCGGCCCCAATGCGCGCACACACAGACATGTGCACGTGCACACACATACACGCGCACACACACAGACACAGGTGAACACACTAGAGCGCAGCTCAGGATGCATTTTCCGGAGTCAAGACAATTATAACTGAGCCTGGCCCGAACCTGCAGCACGGCACCGAACACACAGACTATGGAGAGGAGCCTGCGTCCAGGCGTTGTCACGTAAATAACAAATTCAAGCATAGGGGAATAAGGATATTTTCATAGGGAGCAACACCTCTCCCACTCGGCAGCATGCCTCTGTTTGAGGTGCTGCAGTAAATTGGTAGTACTGCTACCTTGGGTCGCAACAGCCTTCAAACACACTTTGCAGCAGGGTGCTGTTTATTCTGTCTGACGCCACAAAACCGAACTCGTTCCCTTTCTTGAGAATGAGGTATTCCCCGCTCGCTGCCATGATGTTTGTGTATCAAGTGCGTGGGGGGGCAGGGGGGGAGCCCACTCTGAACTACGGGTGCCCAGCGGGGAGCATCAGTGGCGGATGTTAATCAACCTAAACTACAAATTTGAATTAATCAATAAAATTGATTTATCGCCCAGCCCTACTGTCTCCACTCCACTCCGTGCTGTGTGCTGGCTGTGTGTGATCTACTGTCTGCAGTCAGCAGAGACCCTCCCCCCAGTAAACACCCAATCACTATTTAGTATGCAAATGAGCCAAGATGCATCGGCGTCAGGTTTCTCAGTCTCAGTGAGGCAGAATGCAGCAGTAAAGTGAAGCTCTGTTAAACTCGTCGTAGCGTCTCATGTCGTAAGATACTTAATATATAGTTAACAACAAAAAAGCAAAAGTAAATGTAGCAGTGTGAGCCTGTCAGTGCGAACGTTTCTTCAATCACACAAGCACAGTGAGAGATGAGTGCCTGCTGCATGTCACATACTGAGGACAAATGCCCTGTATGTGCCAGACCCCTACATAAAGCCCCGCCCAGCCTCTAGTTAGTCAAGTCAAAATTTATTATAGCCCAAAATGACAAAAAATGCCTCAATGTGCTTTATATAAAAACACATAACATAACATAACAAATAACACAACAAATAAAATATATAAAAACAAGTGAAATGACTATGTAGAACAAAATAAACAAACAAAACAAAATGAAAACAAAGCAAAAAAAAACAAAAATAGCATTGGCACTTGTATATATTAAAAACTAAATATAAATTGATGCGCACAATGACTGAGTAGTAGTAGATAACCATGATGTAGTATGTAAGGACAGAGACTATGTGATGTTAAAGGCAGATGCAAAAAGGTGTGTTTTGAGTTTACTTTTGAAGGAATCGACTGTGTTGACTTCACGGATTTGAATGGGAAGGCGGTTCCAGAGGAGAGTGGCTCGGTATGAGAAGGCTCTACCACCTTCTGATGATTTATTAATTTTGGGGATGGATAGGAGACCGACATTATGGAATCTTGGAGGCCTGATTGATAAACGTGGAGTAAGTAGAGATGATAAGTAGGATGGTGCAAGTCCGTGTAATATTTTATAAGTTAAAAGCAGAATCTTGAAGTCCGATCTAGTGTGTACAGGGAGCCAGTGTAATGAAATGAGAACAGGGGTGATATGGTAAGATTTTCTGGTTCTGATTAATATCCTGGCAGCAGTATTCTAAATGAGTTGTAGTTTCCTAATGGTTGAATTGGGTAAGCCAGAGAAAAGTGTATTGCAATAATCTAATCGGGATGAGACAAAAGCGTGAACCAGTGTTTCTGCATCAGTCATGGAGAGAATGGGACGAATCCTGACAATATTGCGCAGGTGAAAATATGCTGTTTATGTTATATTATTAATATGGTCTTCAAAGGAGAGATTAGGATCGAATAAAATACCGAGATTTCTAACACAGGGGCTTTGTGAATTGATAGTACCAGCTAAGTTTAAGGTGAGATTGCAGAATTTGTTTCTGATGTGCTTTGGACCTACGATTAACATTTCAGTTTTTTCAGTATTTAAGAGAAGGAAGTTTGACGACATCCATTGTTTGATCTCTTGTATGCACTGTTCTAGGTGGATCAGTTGATGAGAGGTGTCAGGCTTGATGGATATGTAGAGCTGAGTATCATCTGCATAAAATTGGGAACCTAATTTGTATTTATTGATTACCGAGGGGTAGCATGTAAATAGTAAAGAGAATGGGACCAAGCACAGACCCTTGTGGTACACCATAATGGACCTTTTTGCATTCTGAAGAGCAGTTATTATGAAAAACAAAGTGAGATCTGTCGGTAAGGTAGGATTTGAACCAGGCGAGAGCAGAGTCGGTGAGTCCTATGTAGTTTTCTAGATGGTGAAGTAGAATATGGTGATCAAGTGTGTCAAACGCTGCGCTGAGGTCTAGTAGCAGCAATACTGAAGCTGAGTCGGAGTCGGAGGAGAGTAGTAAATCATTGACCACTTTTGTCAGTGCAGTTTCCGTACTATGGAATTTTCTGAAACCGGATTGATGAGGGTCGTATAGATTATTGAAGGAGAGGTGATCAGTGAGTTGTTGGGCTACTGCTTTTTCTAGGATTTTTGAAAGAAAGGGGAGATTTATAATTGGTCTGTAATAATTGATCACATCAGGGTCCAGGTTATGTTTCTTGAGTAGTGGCCTGATTACGCCTGTTTTGAAAGATGCAGGTACTGTTCCAGTGGTAAGAGAGCTATTAATTATATGTAGTAGTAGTAGTGGGCTAAGAATTGGGAAGAGGTCCTTAATGTACTTAGAGGGAATAGGATCCAGTAGGGAGGTAGTGGGATTGGAGGAGAAAACCAGTTTAGAAAGAGTTTCATTGGAAATTGTCTCGAAGTGAGTGAGTTTGCAAGGTGAAGACAGGTCGTATGAAACCGCCATGTCCTGGGTGGGAGATGGGAGAGAGAGAGGTTATTGCTTTTCTGATGTCAATTTTAGTGGTGAAAAATTCTATGAAATCAGAAGCGGTATGAGGAATATTACATATAGGGGATGGTTTACATGTTAATTTAGCTACAGTGTCAAAGAGAAATTTTGAGTTATTTTTATTATTTTGTATAAGTTCAGAAAAGTAAGCTGTTCTAGTGGCACTAAGAGTGTGTTTATATTCATGAAGGCTGTTTGGCCATTCAAGCCAAAAATTATTTAGCTTGGTTGATCTCCATTTATACTCGAGCTTTCTGCATTTTTGTTTCATAAGCCGAGTGTTTTGATTGTACCAGGGGGATGGTTTTGGTCTTATTTTTCTGTTATAGAGAGGGGCGACGGAGTTAAAAGTATCCAGTAGTGCAAAATTGAAATTTTCCATGAATTCATTTAGGCAACAGGACTGATCCATGGTGGTGATAGTTGATTTGAGTTTCTTGGCAAGTTTATGAACAGTGGATAAGTCCGTGCATCGGGGAGTATAGATTTTAGAGTGGCTAATATGACGATTAGAGATT